CTCGATCCCGGGACTCCAGGATCATGACCTGAGCCGAAGGCAGTCGCTTAACCAACTGAGCCACCCAGGCGCCCCTTTATCAGTGCTTATTAACTCTTGATTTACACACTATTCTAACACCCGCAGCCGCGTGTCTTAGTCTGTGCATGAGAAGCAGAGAACTGAAGGCAGAAAGTAGGGAAGAATCAGGCGAGTTAGCAGAGGGGTGCTGGATGACGGCCTGCGAGTGGGGGACAGGACTGAGTTGGGAGAATCCTTGGGGGCCGTGCAGTCCAGTAACCTTCGCTTTCACAGATGGAGAAGTCACCTGGCTGAGATCCCAAGGTGGGGCCGGTCTAGAACCCAGCCCCGTGGGCTTCCCGTACAGTCATGCTCTTAGGGCCATGGCGTACTTCCTCACTTACGTCATAGTCGCTGAAGATGCTGGTTATGTGTCATTAAGAAAACATTTCATTGTGTTCAAGATTCTCTGTTCAGAAAATTCGGAGAAGTGTCCAGTGTGCTTTCAAACATAGTTCCTCCCAAAGAGTTAAAATGAAAATGCCATCCCATAGAATATGCAGACAGATATCTGTTACCCCCAAACCTCCCCCCCGCCGGGACCTTCATTGTCCCCGTGGTGCCCGATGAGTGAGGTGTGGCTGGACTTCTGCCTCGGGACGAGCCTGACAAGTCTGGGTCCTGTGTGGATACAGAAGTGGGCTTTACTCTGATTGTCCCATCTCTGAAAACTTGCCCTGAGTGACGTACAAACTGAAGTTGTTCCCTGTCACTTAAAATTGTCCTTACGTATGCTTTCTTATTTATTTTGCTTATAAAAGCCGGGCACAGTCAGCACCGAACTAGAAAATAGAGATAAATCCAACAGGAGAAAACACTCATGCGGTGCCTGGCTGGCTCGGTCGGTGGAGCGTGCGACTCTTGATCTCGGGGTTGTGAGTTCGAGCCCCACGTTGGGCGTAGAGATTATGTAAAAATAAAATCTTTTAAAAAAAACACCACTGAAAGAGAATTACTGTTCACACGTTGGCACACAGCCTCCCTCATTGCTGGGTACTCATTCACCCTGCTGCACACGTGTGTGTACATAAATATGTGTATGCGCACAAACATCGATACACGCAGATGAAATGTGGGTCATGCTACTGATAGTTTTAAAACCCTTGATAGGGTTATTTTTTAGTTAACGATGGATACACTCACCTCTAGGTATATGGAGATCTACCTTAATTTTTTTAAACAGCTGCCTGTGAGTCCGTTCTATAGAAGCTGTGCCTTAATATGATCAGCTGTCCCCTGCTGGGGGACATTTTGGTTGTTTCTAGTTTTTTTGTTTTGTTTTGGGTTTGTTTTTTTTTTTTTGCTGTTATGGTCACAGTTATGATCAGCATCTTTGCTCACACCCTTAATCATCTCCTTAAAATAAATTCTTGGAAGTACCATAACTGTGTTGAAGGAAACAAAGTCTTTTATGGCTTTCAGTTTGTGTTGCCAAAGCTCCTGGGTGATGTTTTTCCACTCAGGTTTTTTCTTTTTTTATGACTTTGGAAAGTCGCTAGTGCCTGTAGTTGAGGATTCTCCTCCAGGCTGGCTCCTTCCTTCTTTTCCCCTTGTCCCCATTTCTCTCAGATTCCTTGGGCATGGTCCCAGGGCTCTGGGATCTTGTTCTGGGGGATTTGGAATGGTGGATGGGAGCAGTGGAGGAGGAAGGGAACATCACAAGGTCCATGGGAATAAATGTAAGGTGTGGGCACAGGCGTGGGCTGGTCTAATCATATTTAAAACATAGTTTCAGGAAACTTACTCTGGGCCTCCCCGCCACTCATTCATCTCAAGGCCAAGGGCAGCACTTTGTGGCGGAGCATTGGATAGACATTTTGGACTAATTCCTTGGCTTAGGATCCAGTCCCTCGACCTGGCCTTGGGGTCTGGCTCCTGTTCACCTCTCCCCTTCCTAGTCTCCGTCATCCACACTCCTGCAACAGTGACCTTTCACATTCATTGCTCCCAAAAGCTAAACTCCTTCCTGGTTCAAGGATTTCAGATAGGTGGCTTCCTTTACTACAGGCACTCTTCCTTTCTCTTACTCTTCAACCTCTGGGACATAGCCTGGAGTGGTGGTTAAAAACATGGCCCCTAGCGTCAGGCTTGGGTTTGTAACCCGGTTCTGTCCCTTACCAGCTGTGCAACCGAGGACAAGTTACTCAGCCTCTCTGTGCCTTGGTTTCCATATCCGTAAAACAAGGGTAATGAGAGTACCCACCTCACAGGGCCGCTGTGAGGATCGTATGTGGCGATATCTATGAGCACTTAGACTAACAGTTCCTGGCATGGGGTCATTATCACTGAGCTGGCTGGCTGGCCTCAGCTTACCACTCCGCAAGGAAATATTCCCTTACTCCCACTACCCCAGCCCAGACATCCTGGTTTACGGTCTTAGCCATCTGTATCTTTCCTTCTTAGTGGTTACTGCAATTGTTACTAAATAAATAAGCATTTAAAAAAAAAGTCTGACTCTTGCCTAAGACTCTCAGCCCCACTAGCATGGCCCACTTCTGTCCTGTTCACAGCCTAAGAGTTGGTATGCAATCAGTATCTGCTCAGGGAATGAAAGAGACGGTCCTGCTACTTCCTGCCCAGAGCCAAGTTCATCAGAAAGACAAAGTCATGGTCCTCCCTGATGAACTAGTAAGACACACCTGATTATGGAAGGGGTTTCCCAGTGGAGTGAGCTGATGCGTGACCAGTGTGTGACAGTGACCCGTGTCCCTCTGAACTTGCAAAGCCTGCTGCTCTTGGAGGCTGTCTGGTGTCCACCTTCTCAGTGGATGAAGGGCCAGTGTTGTTTTTAAGTTTTAAGTTTCAGGGCGCCTGGCCGGCTCAGTCGGTGGAGTGTGTGACTCTTGATCTTGGGGTGAGTTTGAGTCCCACATTGGGTGTAGAGATTACTTAAAAATAAAATCTTAAAAAAAATTCTAAGTTTCTAATGCATATAGATCAAAAATAATGGGACGCCTGGGTGCCTCAGTCGTTAAGTGTCTGCCTTTGGCTCGGGTCATGATCCCAGGGTCCTGGGATCGAGCCCCGCATCGGGCTCCCTGCTCCGCGGGAGCCTGCTTCTCCCTCTCCCACTCCCCCGCTTGTGTTCCCTCTCTCACTGTCTCTCTCTGTCAAATAAATAAAACCTTAAAATACAATTAAATGAATTACTAGAAAATGAAACAAGATTCACAGCCACGGTTTCTCAGCCTGAGCACTATTGACATTCTGGACCAGATAATTCTTTGTGGTGGGGCTGTCCTGTGCATTGTAGGATGTTTCGCAGCATCCTGACTTTTATTATTAGATTCAGCAGACAAAATTACTCTATCAAGTTGCTCTGCGGGCTTCTAAACTTGCTCTGGGTTTCTGTGCTTTGTACAAAGCCCTCCTGGGCTGGCGCCACCTGTGGGCCACACTTGGAGTAGCAGCAGACCCTGCACTTCTGGAAAGGGAGGCCCTGAAGCCCTGCTCACGGCCCACATAAAATGTGCTATTCCAACACATTGAAAACTTTCAGGAACATTTCTGAGCCTTGGTTTTTCCCTCTCCTCTCCCAGGTCACATGTAGCGGGTGACGTCATCCAGCCAGCTATCCTTGAGGACCCGGAAAACCCACCGTTAGCTGCCTCTTCACACCATGGTGATGCCATCAGCCAGGTCTCCAGGGATCTGACAGCCCAGAGGTACATGGGGGCTGGGTCTGCATTTGGTGGTGAGACCCCGGGGCCCAGGCCCTGCGGCTGCCTCCCTCCTCTCCCCTCCCCTCGCCTGCTCACCCACCCCTACCTGGGTCTACATGCCCCTCCTACACAGGGCTAGGGCCCCTTCCTTAGGGAGCTCACGGGACACCAGGAAGACCCTGCCCCAACAGGCATTTTAAAGGTTTGTTCCCTTGTGATCTTCAAGGGCCCCTATTTAAAATAGAAGTCCTCTGGGAGAGAGGACGTGCTATTTATACCTTGCCAAGGAATGACTTAGTTAGCTGCCTCTGACCTCCCAGGACACGAGCTGGGTTAGCTGCTTGTTTTGTCTTCTGGTGCTGGAGGGAGGAGAGAGGAGCCGGCAGCACAGCCGGGAAGGGGAGCAGGTCCTCGTGCCTTTGCTTGGCAAATGGGTTTGGCCAGCGGGGTCTTCCCTCACCTGCACTCCCTGCCCCAGCCACCCCACAGCAGTCACAGATGATGTCCAAGTCCACTGCGCTTATCCCCACTGGCGCTTACTCTGTTTAAACCAGGCTTGCTCAGAGTCAGCCTCAGGACTTGGCTCAGATGCGAGTACACGCGCATACACACCCTCATCTCTCTGCTCCTCCCCACCCCACTCCCCCATATATATACATAGATGTTTATTTCATGTATATATACACCCACATTTTTTCCAGTTTTATTGAGGTTTAATTCACATATGACATTGTTTAAGGTGTTATACACACATTTAATTTTATTAAAAATTTTTATTTAAATTCCATTAATTAATATATAGTGTATTATTAGTTTCAGAGGTAGAAGTCAATGATTCATCAGTTGTATATAACACCCAGTGCTCATTACATCTCGTGCCCTCCTGAATGCCCCTCACCCAGTTACCCCATCCTCCTCCACCTACCTCCCCTCTAATCCTATGATTAAGAGTCTCTTATGGTTTGTCTCCCTCTCTGATTTTGTCTTCTTTTATTTTTTCCTCTCTTCCCCTATGATCCTCTTTTTTGTTTCTTAAATTCCGTATATAGTGAGATCATATGATAATTGCCTTTCTCTGATTGACTTATTTCGCTTAGCATAATACCCTCTAGTTCCATCCACGTCATTGCAAATGGCAAGATTTCATTTTTTGATGGCTGAGTAGTATTCCATTGTATATATATA